ACAAAAACCGTCTGGAGCAGCTCAAAATCCGCCAAAAGATGATGGAAGCCAACCAGGGCGAGTATGAGACAGAGCGATACAAGAGGGTGGCCAGAGGGGCATAGCCGGGCTGCCTCCCAGCCTGGCACCATGGCACCCCGAAGGGACTGGCCAAGGGGACACCAGCACCGTGGGACACACAGCACTGGTGCCTGCCCTCCCTCTCCAGCCTGTGGGGCTGGATATGGACAAATAAACCCTGGTGAGTGGAACAGCTCGGTGCCACTGCAGTCACTCCCTCAGTGTTCAGCCCGAGGCTCCGCCTGCCCCTGCAGCCAGGGTTCTGCCCACAAGGGTGGCAAGGGAGGGAGGCCAGGTCTAGAGCAGCTCGACCTTGGTTTTTCCACCCCAAAGCAGGGTTTGCACTGCCTCAGGCCGCAGCCCCCGCTGAGGCTGCCCACAGGTTTTCTGAGGGAGTCACCACACCAAAAAGACTGGGACCATCTGGAAAATTAAAGTGTTTTATTTAGCAAGTGCAACTTTGCCCACGAGCGTGGCTGCAGGGGCTCTGCGACATTAGCTCTGCCACAAGTCCTGCCACGGGGGTCCCAGCTGCCCCCTGCCCACACCAGGCACCGCTGCAGCTCAGGGCACGACTGGAGCCGTGTTTAAGGCACTGAGTGAATGACACCAGGCTCTGCCAAAACAATCCCAACGTGATCTGTGGCCGCTGCCAGCTCCCTGTATCCAGGCAGGACCCTGGCACTCCGCTGCCAGCCTGGCACCACTGGCACAGCCTCGGCAAGCGGTGCTGAGGCCAGGCACTGCCTAAACACTGACAGCTGGTCCCCCCACCACCCTTGGAGGCTTTCTGGGGGGGGATGAAGGGAAGCCCTTTTCTTAGCAGCCTATAGGTAGGGATGCCAAAGCATTACGAGTCACAGTAAGTGGCCGTATTCTGTACAGAGGCCAGAGGAAGGGGTGAGGGGCAGTGAGGGGACAGGACAGGAGAGGTCCCTGGCCTAATCCCGGCCCACGATCTGCAGGATGAAGGTGAAGATGTAGACAATGTCAGTATAGATGGTGAGGGCACCGTAGATGTACTCCTCAGGGCTCAGTGTGTTCTTCCTGTTCCCCAGCACAAGTTGGGTGTCATAGGCAAGGAACTGGGGGGGAAGAGGGCGTCAGGCAGGGATCGAGGCAGGGCTTCCCCCTCCCCAGTTCCTGCCTGACACCCTCTGCCCACCCCAGCCGTCAACTCACCAGGGTGAAGGCGATGGCGCCGATGGCCGCGTACAGCATGTGGAGCCAGGGGACCTGCACGAGGAAGGGATCGCAGGCAGGGTGAGCTGGGTGCTGGCAGGCAGCGGGCAAGGCTGGGCAGGTCCTGCCTGCACGCAGCTCCCAAGGGGACGCCACAGATGCTGATGCTGACGCACCCTCTCCCTGCAGGCAAGCTGCCTCTGCTGTGGCAAGCACCACACCCTGCTTCCCGGCAAAGGGGGACCACCCAAATCCCCCTGCCCGTACCAGCCCTGGTGACACCCAAGCGGGGACACCCATGGCACTCCACAGCCCCTCTGTCCCCCCTACTCACATATTGGAAGGAGAGGACGATGATGGTGATGATGCCGGTCACCGTGACCACGATGCCCAGCACGCAGAAGAGCCCTGGACACGATGTAAAATCAACCTGTCAGAGGGTACACACATATGTCACTGGAGAGCCCAGGGTGACCCACCACCCAGCACTCCACGCCTGACACCCCCCCACACACCCAGCACAGGGCACATCCCCTCCTCACCTTGGTCTGGAAGCAGAAGATGGTGACGATAATGGCCACGATGGCGGTGATGAGCATGGCGATCAGGACAGCCTTGGTGTTGTACATGCTGCAGACAGAGGGGACACCAGAGTCACCCAACGCTTCGGGAGCACCCTGCCAGGGGGGCATTGTTAACTCCCCACGGCCCTG